CACACACACACACACACACACACACACACCGCCGCCCTCCAGCCAAAGGTGTCAGGCGATGCCACAGAAGTGCAATCTTGCCTGCATGATGCACATCCACACACCCACGCTATCGCTCAGCGTGACGCGCTGTAAAAGACGGAGAGAAAGGCGGGGGGAGGCATGAGCAATTACGCCAATTATGCTGACGCATCCAGCAGGGCACAAGATAGGAACAATAATGTCGTGTGGGGATGGGTGCTCTGTGCTCGTATGTGCGCCGTGCCTGGCCAATCACCCCAGAAGCATGGGCAATACAACAATAATAATAATGATAATAATACTCACTCTCTGACACACAGATATATATATATATATATATATATGCAGCAGCGCTAGAGTGTTGGTTTCTCATAGAAGCATTCACACTCCTTTTCTGCTTTCTTTCAGCCTCTTCCTTCCGCTCGGTCATGGGGGATGGGCCACCGCGCAAGAACGTCTTTTTTTTTTCTTTCTTCGCGCTCCAAGCAGCCACACCACCGGCTTGCCAGCAGGAGCAGGGACACAAAGCGCACGAAGCCACGAGCCAAGCGATACAACAAAAAGAAAAGAAAAGACAAATAAAAAAGCAAACAAACAAAAAACAACTCGGCGAGTTAGGTGCAGCAGCCAGACTGTTTGGGTTTTGTGCTTGGCTGGCGCCCGACGATGCCGCCTTCACGCACTGCGTTCTGGCTGTTGGACGCGACGAGGCGGCGCGCGATCTGCTCGAAGACGGTGTGCACGCCGCTGCCGTCCTTCGCGCTCGCCTCGCTGAACATCAGGTCGAGCTCCTTCGCGTACGCGGCGGCCTCCTCCGCGCTGACGCCGCGCTTGCCGGCCAGATCGCTCTTGTTGCCTACGAGTGTGATGATCGTCTCGGGGGAGTTCGCGGCGAGCTCGCGCACCCAGTACTTGGCGCGCTCGAACGTCTCGTACGACGGCAGCTCGTAGACGACGAGCGCTGCGGCGGCACCGCGGTAGTACATGGAGGCGAGGCTCTTGTAGCGCTCCTGCCCCGCTGTGTCCCAGATGTCGAAGTTGACGGCGGTGTCGTCTACGGGGCACGAGTAGCGGAAGAAGGAGGCGCCGACGGTGGAGTTCTGGTTCTCGTTCCACTCATCCTTGACGAGGCGCTGCACCAGCGATGATTTCCCCACGCCACTATCACCTAGAAGCACGACCTTGTACTTCTTGGAGGCGGCCGGGACAGAGGTCATCGTCACCTATGGATGGCGGCCGCTCCAGATTCTGCTATTCCTACTGCTACTGTTGTTTACGGCAGCCACTTACGGTTTGTTTCAAACTCTCTCTTGGGTCCTGTTTCCTTTTCTTTCTTTTCCTTCACCGTGCGGCAGAGACGAAGGACACACAAGTGGTGCTCGCAGAAAAGAATACTAATAAAAATACTAATAATAATAATAATAATAGTGGCAGCAGTATATCAAGCGTGCCGTTGCGCACCGCCTCCCCCGGAAGTGACACAATCGGCAACAGCGCCAACATCATCGGCAACGATGCCCTTTTCGATAAGAATACGCGCCATCACTGTCTCGTACACGGCGGCATCAGTGATGCTGCTCCTCTAGCGCCTCCCGTGCCTGTGCTGCGAGGATGCGGACGGTGTGCTGTGGCAGTCCGTGGCGGCGCACAAACGCCGCCGCCAACTCGTCTACGTCGTCGCCGTCACGGAGCACGAGTCGGTCAATACTACCGCTGCCCACATCAATGTTCAGCACCACACGCGGCACGGACGCCATCTCCCTCGTCTTCGTAGAAGCAGCAGGAGTTGTGGTGGTGGTGGTGGTGGTGGCGATTGATCGCTCTGCGTTATTGTGCTGCTGTAGCAACCGTCGCTGGTCGGTCTGCTCCGTAGCCTGCAGCAGTGCCTCTGCAGCAGCTGCTTCCGCCTCGAGGGCTGTCATTGCCCGCGCACGCAACTCACGCGCCCTCACCCCCATTTGCTTCGCGACAGACGCGGCGCCCTGCCGCTCCGACTCCAGAAGCACCTGCCGCTGTGCGTTCAGCTCGGCCCGCCGCATTGCGCTGCACACCCGTTGCTGTTCCCACGTTCGTGCAAGGCGCACATCCTCCTTCGCGCCACGCAGCTGCTCGTCGGTGAGACGCAGGTCCGTGTAAAAGCTCCCGAGTGCCATAGTGCGGCGCGCCACGGTCTGCAGCAGCACGTCGCGGAGGGTGGCGCCGTCGTCAGCTGCAGCGTCCATGTGCATCTCCCACACCACTGCCACTACTACTACTACACAGCAACAGCAGCCGTAACAAAGGCAGGAAATAAAAACAGTATGGGAGCGGCACGAAGCACCACGCCTACACATACTTACACGCAGGCCTCTCGTGGGAGAGGCCCGCGGCAGCCCCACAGCACCGGTATC